AAAAAAAAGAGAGACAGATGTGGTGGTACAGGCCTGTCATCTCAGCTACTTGGGGGGATTGCCTGAGCCCAGGAAGTTGAGGCTGCAGTGAGCCATGATTGCACTAGTGCACTCCAGCCTGGGTGACAGAGCAAGAACTTATCTCCAAAAGAAAAACAAAAACAAAAGACACAAAAAGAAAGAAAAAAAGAAGGTCATTATGTAATGATGAAGGAGTCAATTTATCAAGATGGTATAACAATTGTAAACATATGTACCCAATATTTGAGCAACTAAATATATAAAACAAATATTAATAGACCTGAAGGAAAGAGAGACTAATACAATAATACTAGGGGACTTCAACACCCTACCTTCAGCAATGGACAGATTGTCCAGGGAGAAAATCAATGAGAACACATCAAACTTAAAACTATACTTTAGACTAAGGGGACCTAATAGGCATATATAGAATATTTTATCTACAAGCAGAAAACTACCACTCTTCTCAATTGTACATGGGACATTCTACAGGACATATCATATGTTAGGCTACAAAACAAGTTTTAACAAAGTAAAGAAGGCTGAAATTATATCAGATATATTTTTTGACCACAATGATATGAAATTAGAAATCAATAACGAGGAATTTTGAAAAATCTGCAAATACATGGACTCCCAAACAACCAATGGGTCATTGAAGAAATTAAAAAGAAAAAAGTTTTAAATCTTGAGGCAAATGAAGATAGAAATATAACATATCAAAACTTATGGGATACAGCAAAAGCAGTTATAAGAGGGGAAGTTTATAGCAATAAACACAAGAATACATCAAGAAAGAAGAAAGATCTCAAACAACCTAATGTTACACCTCAAGAAACTAGACAAAGAAGTAGAACTAAGGCAAAAATTAGCAGAAAGAAGGAAACAATAAATATCAGACCAGAAATAAATGAGTTTAAAACTAGAAAAAAATAAGATCAACAAAACAAAGCATAGGCTTTTTGAAAAAATAAACAAAACTGACAAATCTTTAGCTAGACTAAGAAAAAAGAGAAAACATTCAAATGAATAAATCAGAAATGAAAGAGGAGACACTACCTTTCTCATACCACATATATACAAAGAATCATAAGACCCTACTATAAACAATTTAATGCCAACAAATTGGATAACCTAGAAGAAATAGATAAATTCCTAAACACATAAAGCCTACCAAGACTGAATAATAAAGAAACAGGAAAATCTGAACAGACCAATAACGAGTAAGACTTAATCCATAATAAAACACCACCCACCAAACAAAAGCTCAGGACCAGATGCTTTCACTGTTGAATTCTACCAAATATTTAAAGAACAAATAGCAATCCTTTTCAAACTCTTCTCAAAAATTGAATAAGAGGGACTACTTCCAAACTCATTTTATGAAACCAGCATTACCCTGATACCAAAGCTAGACATGAGCACTACAAGAAAAGAAAATTATAGGCCACTATCCTTGATAAATGTATATGAAAAATCCTCAACAAAATACTATCAAATCAAATTCAATAGCACATTAAACACCATGATCAAATAAGATTTATCATTGGGATGCAATAATGGTTAAACATATACACATCTAAAAAGGTCATACACCACATTAATAGAATGAAGGACAAAAACCATATGATCATCTCAATAGATGTAGAAAAAGCATTTGACAAAATTCAACATTTTTTCATGATAAAAACTCTCAGCAAAATAGATACAGAAGGAATGTATCTCAGCACAATAGTGGCCATACATGACAAGCTAACAGCTAGTATCATACTTAATGACAAAAAACTGAAAGATTTCCCTCTAAGGTTAGAAACAAGAGTAGAATGCTGATATGGTTTGGCTGTGTCCCCACCCAAATCTCATCTTGAATTGTAGTAACCCCCAAATGTCATGGGAAGGACTTAGTGGGAGGTAATTGAGTCATGGGGGCAGTTACTTCAATGCTGTTCTTGAGTGAGTTCTCACAAGATCTGATGGTTTTATAAGGAACTTGTCCCCTCTTTGCACTGCACTTCTCCTTGCTGCTGCCATGTAAAGAAGGACGTGTTTGCTTCCCCTTTTCTGCCATGATTGTAAGATCCTGAGGCCTCTCCAGCCATGCTGAACTATCAGTCAATTAAACCTCTTTCCTTTATAAATTATCCAGACTTTGGTATGTCTTTATTAGCAGTGTGAGAATGGACTAATACAGATTGCCCATTCTCACTGCTATTCAACATGTTACTGCAAGTCCTAGCCAGAACAATTAGGCAGGCAAAAGAAATAAAAGCCATTCAAATTGGAAAGGAAGAAGTTTTAAATTGTCCTTATTTGCAGATGACCCGATCTTATCTATAGAAAATCCCTCCCGAAGACTCCACCAAAAAAACTGCTAGAACTAATAAACAAATTCAGTAAAGTGGTAGGATATAAATACAGCATACAAAAATCAGTTGCATTTCTATGCACTAACAATAAACTCTGAAAAAGATATCAAGAAAACAATCCAATTTATAATAACTACAACAAAATACTTAAGAAGAAATTTAACTAAGGAGGTGAAATATGAGTACAATGAAAAATCTAAGACATTGATGAAAGAAACTGAAGAACAAAGAAATGAAAAGATACCCCATGTTCATGGATTGGAGGAATTAATATTGTTAAAATGTCCAGACTACTCAAAGTCCTCTAAAGAATCAGTGCAATCCCTATAAAAATTCCAATGGTGGCCGGGTGCAGTGGCTCATGCCTGTAATCCCAGCACCTAGGAGTTTCAGATGGGAGGATCGCCTGAAGTCAGGAGTTCAAGACCAGCCCGACCAACATGATGAAACCTTGTCTCTACTAAATACAAAAAATTAGCTGGGCATGGTGGCGTATGCCTGTAATCCCAGCTACTCGGGAGGCTGAGGCAGGATAATCACTTGAATCCGTGAAGTGGAGGTTGCAGTGAGTTGAGACTGTGACATTACACTCCAGCCTGGGCAACAAGAGCAAAACTCTGTCTCAAATAAATAAATAAATAAATAAATAAATAAAATCCAAATGGCATTTTTTGACATAGAAAAACAATTTAAAAATTTGTGTGGAAGCACAAAAGACTCCAACTAGCCAAAGCAATTTTAAACAAAAAGAACAAAGCTGAAAGCATCACACTACCTGATTCAATATACACAACAAAGCTATATTAATCAAAAGAGCATGGTGCTTGCATAAAATAGACACGTAGAAAAATGGAACAAAATAGAGAGTTTGGATCCATGCATTTATGGTCAATTGATTTTCAACAAAGGTGCCAAGAATATGCAATGGGTAAAGGACATCTTTCTCTTTAATAAATGGTGTTGGGACAACTGGATATCCACATGCAGAAGAATTAAAATTGACCCCATCTCATGCCATATTAAAAAATTAACTCAAAATGGACTTAATACTGAAATTTAATAACCAAGGTTGTAAAACTACTAGAAGAAAATACAGAGGAAAAGCTTCACGACATTGGTCTGAGCAAGTATTTTTGGGGTATAATACCAGGAGCACAATCACAAAAGCAAAAAGAACTGGGATTACATCAAACTAAAAAGCTTCTGCATAGGCAAGGAAACAATCAACAGAGTGAAGAGACAACCTACAGAATGGGAGAAAATACTTGCAAACCATGTATCTGATAAAGGTTATTATCCAAAATACTTAAGGAGCTCAAACAACTCAATATTAAAAACAAACAAACAGATTTTTAAATGGGCAAAGGACCTGAATAAACATTTCTTAAGGGAACACAAGCAAATGACTAACAGATATGTGAAAAAATGCCCTGCCTTTGAAATCATCAAGAAAATGCAAATTAAAACCACAATGAACATCACCACATACTGGTTAGGATGGCTATTATCAAAAACACTAAAGATAACAAACATTGGTGGGGATGTGCAGAAAAGGGAACCTTTGTACACTGTTGCTGGGAATGTAAATTGCTACAATCACTAAGAAAAACAATATGGAGTGTCCTCAAATAAATAAAAAGTAGAACTACCCATACAATCCATGAATTCCACTACTGAATATATATTCGAGGGATATGAAATCAGTACAGATGCTCCTAGAGTTACGATGGGACCACATTTCCATAAACCTACCATAAACTGAACATATCATAAGTCAAAAATACATTCAATACTTTAATAAACCCATTGTAAAGTTGAAAATCATAAGTCTAACCATCATAAATCAGGGGCCATCTGTATACGGAAGAGATATCTGCACTCCCATGTTCATTGCAGCAGTATTCACAATAGCCAAGATATAGTATCTATAACAACCTAAGTATCTATCAATGGGTGAATGGATAAAGAAAATATATACACAATGAAATACATCTATACACTGAAATACTATCTAGCCTTTGAAAAGGAAGAAATCCTGTTATTTGTAACAACAACCACGAACCTGGAGGATATTACGTTATGTCAAATAAGACAGGCACAGAAAGACATGTATGACATCTCACTTATATGTAGAGTGTAATAAAGTTGAATTTATAGAAGTTGAGAGTATACGGTGGTAACAGAGGCTGGGGATATGAGGATGAGGACTGGGGAGATGTTAGCCCAGGGATACAAAATTTCAGTTAGATAGGAGAAATACATTAAGAGATCTATTATACAACACGATTAATATAGTTAATAATGTACTGTATTCTTAAAAATTACTGAGAGAATAGATTTTGCATTATCACCACAAAAACGATAAGTACCTGAGGTAATATTTATGCTAATTAGCCCTACGGTAATTATCTATGCTAATTATTTATGCTAATTAGCTAGTTAGCCTTTTCACAATGTGTACATATTTCAAAACAACATGTAATGCTGAATACATCCAGTTTTTAATTTTAAAAAGTGGTTACAATGATAAAACAACAACCAACCAACCAACCAACAAACGTATAGCATCTGAATAAGAAAGGAAAGAAAATAGGCAAGGTAAGCAATAATTACCTTCTTCATCACAGGGCAATGGGCAGGGCGTCTCCCTTCCAGCATCCCCATTACTCACTTGGACAGCGACTTGTTCACAGGATTCTGGAGATAAATGAGATCACAGCTGAGAATCTAGTGGAGCCTTGCTCTGTCCTATTTCCATTTGGTTAGACCTCACCTTGCTTCTCCTTTCTTCTCCTGTTTCTACCTATACCCCTGTCTGCATATACTGCTGCATGAAGGTGTTTGTGCTTTATTGATTCCTGGCCAATCTCTCTCTACTTTCTCCTTTTGTCTCTTGTTTCTGTCTCTCTTCTTTGGTGAGACTCTGCAAATCTTCCCCTTTCTCTCTCAGTTTTTTGCTTCTAGCTTTCTTCCTCCAGGTGTTTGTCATCAGTATGTCAGTGTATCAGGCTCATCCGTATATCAGGCCCCTTCTGTGTCTGTGTGATTTTCCCCTGCTTGTTAAACAGGTGTCTCCTTGCATTGTGCATTAGACTCTTCCTCTGCCACCAGCCAGGGCCCCTTGGCTCGTCCCCATTCACATGAACCCAGTCAGTCTTACCTGTTGGCTCAGTCTTTTGGGCACTTTGCTCATTTGTTTGTTGGCTTCCTAGCGAACCATTTTTGTCACTGGCTGTATCTTTTCTGTCTGCATTTATCTCTTCTGTTTCACAGGGGTGCTCTGAGAGTCCATTTTCAGGTGGGGTTGTACCTAAACCATGGTTTGATTCACAGATATTTTATTTGCCCCCTGCTGCCCGTCACTCCCTTCCAACCACTACAGCATGGGCCACTGAGGGACGTAAGATCAAGGCACCAAGCAACAGCCAGACTCAAGCAGATGCAGGCAGAAAATGGTGAAGCAGGCACATGGGTAAAACGGCCAGGCTCAGCGGCAGCAGGAACAAGCAGCAAGTGTGCTTAAGGGGTGTGGGAGGAAGAAACCCTCCTAGGCAAGATAAAGACTTGTTACTTAAATCCCAGAAATGGAAAAACTGTAGATGTAAAAACTGAAAATTCTGGGCAATCATTAACACAAAGAGGCAACCCCACAGCACGTTTCAGAATGGGGCAAGGATAGCAGAGGCTCAAAGAGTAGTAAACAGGAACAAACCATCATGAGATGGGGAATCCCAACGGGGCCAAGTCAGGCTTTGAAAAGAGTTTTCACCAGTTCCTGGCAGGAAGAAATTAGAAGTTTATTTCAGAAATTGAGGTATGGATCTTGCCATTCTCTTCTAATCCCTTTTTGGTCTCTGTAATGTAGGAGTTAAAGACCCCTTCTAAGTCTCAGTGCACAGGCCATCTGGAGCTGGCAGGTGCCACCTAATTATTGAAGTCAGACTCCAGCCTCGAGAGTAGGGGACTGGGTCAGCTGCACCCCTGGCTGACAGGAGCCTTGACCAGACAACCCTGCTGAGTGTCCTCTGTGATACACTCCAGTAACTGACTATGGCAGAGTGATCCTGCCTTTGTCCCCAGAGCTACCCTGCCCGGGGCCCTTAGCTCAGTTTCTTCGAAGTCCTGGTTGCCTCATGCCCACCCCCTTTTACACAACACCCTCCCTCTCCACATCTGTTTATGCTTTCTCACTGGCTTTTCCATGAGGACTCAGTGTCTGAGTAGCCTCTGCTTCCTCCAGCTCTTGGTATTCTTTTTTTCTGGATCTTTTTGTCTGCAAACATTTCCTCATTTTTCTGTGTTTATTTTTTCTAGATTCCCTGGATAGCACAGAGTTAGGAATGCAGGCTCTGGGGTAGAACACCTGGGTTTTTCCTTGTTCATCTGACCCTAGGTAAACTCCATTTGTGGTATCTCTGAATTTCAGTTACCTTATCTGCAAAATAGGCATATAAGTAATATTAATCTCCAATGGCTGTCATGAGCATTAAACCAACTGCCACAGAGTAGATGTTCAATCAAAGTGAGCTGTTAATGGCATGGTGATTTTTGTTGTCTTTTACCCCTTTTTACAGTTTCATTTCCCTTCCTTCGTCCTCTAGGTATCTACACCCTCTTCCATGTGCACCACTTCCTTTCTGAGTCTCTCTACAAGACCGCCTTTCTCTTTGAATGTTCCTGCTCTTAAACAACATCCTCACATTTAAATTTTTCCCCTATTCTGCCACCTCCAAGTAGCTCCCGTGATATCATAAGAAATATACATTTCAGTCTTCATTCCCTGCCCCTGGTCAGAGCTCCCAAAACCCTTGAAACATCCTAAGTCATGACAAGTGAAAAGAGTACTTTCTGTTATTCATAACAAGCCCCTTTCGACCACATCTGGGTTCATGTTAATGAGGTAACTTTTGGAAAGCCCCTAAGGATTGGGGGGTGGTTGCCAGGGGAGCTGAACGTGAGATTAGACAGTTGGAACTTTCAGCTCCACCTCTTGACCTCCAGGGAGGGGAGAGGAGGAATGGAGGTTAACTTAATAATCAGGTAGCAATGATTTAATCAATTCAGACTGTATAATGGAATGTCCATAAAGAACCCTAAGTGACTGGGTTCAGAAATCTTCTGGGTTGGCAAACACATGGAAGTGCCAGGAGAGTTGTGTCCCAGAGAGGGCAGAAGCTCTGTGCCCTTCCCCACGCTTTGCCCTATGCATTTCTTCCACTTGGCTGTTCTTGAGTTGTATCCTTTATAATAAATGTCAGACATTTCCATGCGCTCTGTGCGATCTACTAGGAAAGTATCGAAGCCAATGAAGGGCGTGTGGGAACCTCAATTTACAGGAAGTTGGTCGGAAGCACAGGCCACAACCTGAGACTTGCAACTGGCATCTGAAGTGGGGGGCATTCTTATGGGAATGAGCTATTAACCTGTGGAGTCTGTGCCAAGTCTGGGCAATTAGTGGCAGAATTCAATTAAATTATAAGATATCAGGTGGTATCTGCAGAGAATGGGAGAACTGATTGGTGTGGGGAGACCACCGACATGTTTGGTGTCAGAAGTGTTGTGAATATGACAGTACAGGTAAAACAGGAGCCTTTCTTTCTCCAAGGGTCTCCTTTTTGATGTTGACCATGGACCATGGGCTGTGGTTCTTAACCCTTCACAACTTCACACAGATCCCCTACAGGGAACTTTCTAAATCACAATTACTTCTAGGTAGCTGGCATCTGTAAATCTGGCCTAGTGACACACTTGGCTCTGATTCCCTTATGGTTATTGAACCAACTATGTCTTGTCATGGTCACTTCTCCAGAACCCTGCATCTGGTTAGGAGCTCATATAACCCCCTCCTTGACTTCTCCATTGTCCTTCCATATGTCTTCCCTGATTCACAATCTCCACTCAGAACCTTGGATCCCTAACCTCTCTTAGAGATAGTTTTTATTCTGTCATTTTTACCTTGTTCAAGACTTAGTTGGATGCCAGGCCTCTCCTCCCTCTCTTCTCCATCACTTTCTCGGAGAGGCAATTTGTCTTGGATTACTGAAGAGCGGGAGAGAGAAGACGCAATTAGAGATATACAGGGACCAGGGACAATGTCTGGAAATCATGCTTTTAGGAATTTCCAGTCCTTGGGTGACTCAGAGCTCAGAGGGTTCCTCATGACCTAAAGTTCTCCTGTTATCCCTTGGGACAGAGAAGAGAAGACCCCAATAATGAAGGCTTTATTGTCCTACACAGAAAGGAGACACTCAAGATTTAAGGATAAAGGAGTAATGGAAACATTGTGAGCTATGTTACCCTCAAAATTGTCAGATGGCAGGGTAGGCATATATCAAGTGTAAGGAAGAAACTGGGGAATTTCCTGGGGAGAAGGTCTCAAGTCCTAGAAAGATTCCATTTTTTTATAATCAGCCAGGTGCAGTGGCTCACACCTGTAATCACAACACTTTGGGAGGCCAAGGCAGGAGGATTGCTTGAGCCCAGGATTTTGAGACCAGCCTGGGCCACATAGCTAGACCTCATATCTGAAAAAAAACCAAAATTAGCTGGGTGTGGTATTGCACACCTGTGGTCCCAGCTACTCAAGAGGCTGAGATGGGAGGAACACTAGAGCCCAGGAAGTTGGGGCTGCAGTGAGCTGAGATTATGCCACTACACTCCAGCCTGGGCAACAACAGATTGAAACTCTGTCTCAAAAAAACGTAAATAGAAAAAAAGTGAGAAAACCTCAATATCTTTAAAGATGAGGCTAGAAAACAGGAGAACGTTGTCTTAATTGGGTTGGGGAGGATGAACAGTTCTCAAATAAACATAACAGAGGACACAGGGGCAGCTTGTGTGAACTTCAGGGTCTGAGAGTCAGCAGCATCTCCCTGAGGGTGGGTGGGCTGCTGTGCTGGATGGGGTGATGTGTGGTGCTGTCTCAGGTCAGTGACAGTGATCCTCAGGGCAGGTCACCCAAGCACCAGGAGCGCCAGAAACTAAGACATGAGTTGAGGGCACTGGAGCTAGGAAGGGGGATCCCTGCAGTCCATGGAGAGGAACAGAACCCCTGAGAATGTGGGCAGTAAAGATAGCACCATTCCCTTCCATCCCCATAGCCTGGACCATCCTGGTTACAAACATTGACTTCAAATTTGTGCCCAGGTATTTGATTTCCTTTTATTCCTTTTCTGACTTGAATATTTGCTATAGAAATTATTTTATTATTAATCTAGATAAGGTTAGTATTGATACAAATCAATAAGCCATATGCAACTACTGCTTACATTTCTTTCCTTGTTCATAAACCTGTAGTATTTCTTGATTGCCTAGTAAGTAAACTTCAAATTCCTTAGCTTTAAATTCCAGACCATTCAATATCTTCCTCCAGTTGATCTAAGTCAGCTCCTATGTTGCTTCTCACTCTCAGATTTAGCCAAATCTAATTTGTCCTGTTTTGCAGACATGCTTTCAAACTTTTATTCCAGTTCCCATAGCATCCACCCTCTTCAGGGCGTGTGCCAGTTTCTCTTGTGATGTCTCCATCTCTTATTTGGAGAACTGGATTGAGATCAAACTGTGTGGGAATAAAAAGTTTTCCAGGCAAGTAAAAAAATTGTAGGACGTCTTTAATGTGTACCATTTTAACAGTATAAATTACTCATTCTCAGGAAAAAGGTCAAGAATAAAACCTTTAGTTTGGTATAGCACCAAAAATAGTCCCTGGCAGAGTAATTGGTTTTGTCATTGCTTAATTAATCTTTGTTTCATCCCTTTTGGATAAAGGGTTAGCAAAACCACTTCTACTTCACTGAAGGCAAACTTGACCCAGGGTTAACTTTCTTGCTCATATTCTGAAAACCTAATAAAGATAACCTTTTTTGCAGTGTTACTGGGCAAACAGAGGTTAGAAATGACCCATGACTGGTTGACTGGGACTATGTATGGACAACAAATACCTGTGGGGAAGCCATAGTTGTGGTCTTCCTTCAATTGATAACTCTTGTAACTCAGTTTGCTCCTGTAACTCAGCTTGCCCATATGGGGTCCTGAAAGCTGTTACTATGGAGTTGTTACAAGAGACATACACTCCCATAGGCATGTGGTGCTGAGCCAAGGTGGATCCTGCACCCACAGCTAAGTTGTCACTCAGGGCAGGTAGTAGTCAATTTGGTGGACTGCTATGTAGACCACTGCAAGGGCTCCCACTGAAGAGAAGAAGCTGCCCTGTTGGGATTCTGTTTCTTACTTTATGCTCTTCTAAGTAAATCTGATGCCAGTGTTGCTCTGGTTGTCCTGTGAGTCCAAGTTGCCAGTGAATCCGACATCCAGGTGCTTGTTTTACCATGACCATAAGCCATGAGCTTTGAGAAGACTCATGACATGTCTATTTTGTTAACTACTCTATCCCCACTGCCCAACAAAATGTGTCACACATGGTAGGAGCTCAGTATACACTTATTGAAAAAAATCGACCCTGGAAATCAAAAGGTAGATAATAAATCTAATTACCATTTTTGAAGCTTTCATAAATGTGAATTAAATCGGGGTATTCCTGCAGGTTGACCTCGCTGAACAGTGCTTCCAGAACTGGCAGGCTAAACATCTTCTCCAGTTCACTGAGAACATTGTACACTACTCTCTGTACAGGGACCAGGTTTCTACAAGAATCTTGAGAATCCTTAAAAAATATTGAATGGAGAAAATATAAATACAGACTTCCAAGTTACAGAAGAGCTCTAGAAAGGAATTCTATGGTTACTGTATTCTAATTTCTCTACATAAGTATTTTCATGTGAAGTTCTATAATTTTTACTTATTGGTATAGCCAGTAATGAAAGAAGTAAATCCCTTCTCCTTAAAAATACCCACTGATGAGCCTGATTGCCTCACCCTCATTTACATTAGATGCAAAAAGGGGCAACTTGGAAGGATAAAAGTGGGCTCAAAGTCCTTTAACAGCCTGATCCATATGTTTTTGGGATAGACGTAGCAGGCAATTGATGAATGGCTGTTTTGTTGGCTGGACAACCCCTGCTCTTCCCCCAAGACTGATTTTGCCTGAAGGGCTCAAGGAAACCAGGTGACCATTCTCCCCTTGCTGTGAACTTGGCCACAGAGGAAGCATATTCATAGCCGGAGATGACTCGCTGCTCTGTATCTCCAACAGGGCCTATGGGTGGAATTTATCCATAGTCCAAGACTCCAGAAATGCACAAAAAAAGGAAAGAAAAAGAAAACACATGTGTTGGAGAAAGAATAACAAGCATTTACCTCCAAATTTGTCCTCTCTAGACACCAATTCCCTGTGGGTTTTAATGTTCTCAGATCTAGGTATTTTAAACTGATGTTAACTGGAAGAAAATGCGGTGCCAATTGCTATTTCAAGTAAATCAGTTCATTAAAATTATTTTTAAGTTCTAGTTTATGTTATAGTGTATGAATTCTACAAAACACTGTACATTTATGGAGAACACCTGTTTCTATTCCAGTTTCTCCAGTACCATTGACCCCAACTCCAGAGGGCGCCATGGAACACTATTCCCTCAGCTGGAAGCAGGACCATCTCCGGTGACCTCTGCTTCTCCCCTCCTTTTCTACTTTACAGGAACACTTACAGAAATACTTGAAAAAGTTCCCCACTCATAGGAAACCTGTCAGCAAGTTGTACCCTGAAGTTTTGGTCTAGGATATCAAAGCATAACTTACTTTGGGGCTGGCTTACCAGATTGTGACATAATAAACTTTACTCACTTCAAACATTTTATTTGTGATGAGTTCACGGTCACGGAGGCCCTCAAGGAATGGAAATGTCTTTTTTATTGCATTTGAAATCTCCACCTTATGTCTTTTGAAGTGCTTGAATACAGCGTCACAGAGAAGTCTCTCATCTACATCCTGGTCTTCTGTGAACATCCTAGGGAAAAAGGACACTATGTGAAAATGGTTGTCAAGATTCTGAGATGTTTGTGGATACTGTAAGACTTTACATATAAAAGACAAGCTACAAAGAACGAACACATATAAAATAGGTGATACTCAGTAGAGGCCAGAATAAATGGAATTTAAGCAACAAAAAAGATGTAATAGAAGAAATGGAGGTTGTGAAAAACTAATATAGAGGACTGAAAAAGTTCTGCCTAAACTGAACAAAGCCATTGTAAAGATACCTTCACCTAACCCTATATGAAATCTTTTTTGAAATAAAAATTAAATTCCTACAGAATCTAGATGGAATAAGCAGGTCATCCACAGAGAAATGAAAAACCATGGAATAAAAATAAAATCTAACCTTGAATATGCATCTTAATTAACAACTGAGAGAAAACAAATCTGAGAAAGATAAAAATAAGATGTCCCTGTCTAATCTGTAGCTTTAAGAAAGAAATAAAATCCTATATCATATCATTAATTCATAAATAATACAATGCAGTTTAATAATAATAATGATACCACATTATTAAGAATTTCATGAGCATATCAATGATATCTCCTAGAATGTCTGATTCTACTTTCTGTTAATATAAATATCTCTGTATTATTGTTACATATGGTAAACCATTTTAGGCATCTGAATTTCAGAAATTGCTGTTGTTTTCTGTGAAAGTAATTTTAAAGTTGAATCTCTAATTCTAGTTCTTAGTTGATTATTTTATTGCTCTGATAATGTTTTAGTCAACGTCTCAGTATTCCTTAATATTATGAAAACTTATGAGCCCTTCCTTCCCAACCAGAAGAGAATTATTGGCACTTTCCAGTATCTAACATGAGGCAGGAAACAATAATGTTACATTTTTGTTTTGAATTTCTGTGAAAAAAGTTTCTGGTTAAAGATCATTAAAATAGGCCGGGCGCGGTGGCTCAAGCCTGTAATCCCAGCACTTTGGGAGGCCGAGACAGGCGGATCACGAGGTCAGGAGATCGAGACCATCCTGGCTAACACGGTGAAACCCCGTCTCTACTAAAAAATACAAAAAACTAGCCGGGCGTGGCGGTGGGCGCCTGTAGTCCCAGCTACTCGGAAGGCTGAGGCAGGAGAATGGCGTAAACCCGGAAGGCGGAGCTTGCAGTGAGCTGAGATCCGGCCACTGCACTCCAGCCTGGGCAACAGAGCGAGACCCCGTCTCAAAAAAACCCAAAAAACAAAAAACAAAACAAAACAAAACAAATCACTAAAATAATAACAAAGGAATTAGATTCACAATGACAAAAAGAATGGCAGAGAACAATAAGCAGATAAGAGATTTCAAATAAAATCTTGAAGGTGAAGAGTGGTCAGAAAAGTGCTAGTTGCAATAGTAGGTAGGGGATGGATGCTTTCAGAGGTTAGGAATCATGGTGCCCTACAGAATTTGTAAGAAACAATGGAGATTTGAAGGGAGACACAGAGCCAAAAACTGATGTGTTATTTGAGAAATGAACAGAACATGTATGCCCTGCCTGTCAACCCACATGCTGACCACATGCAGCCAGGCAGCCTCTCAGGGGCAACCAATGCTGTCATTTTTTTACATCATATGTTGATACTGCCTGCTACTGGATTTCGTACAAATGGAATAAAAGACATATATGCTTTTGTGTCTGCCTTCTTTTGCTTATCAGTTGTGTTGATGTGTTGAACAGTAGTTTGTCCATTTTTGTTGTTGAGTGGTATTGTATTGTGTGAATCTATCACAATCTGCTTATTCAATATTCAGTTCATGGCCATCGGAGTTGATTCCATTTTGAGACTACTAGAAATAAAATTGCTGCTCTTGCACAAGTCTTTTCGTGGCAAGATGTTTTCACTTCTCTTGGGTAAATATATAGGAGTGGAATTGCTGGGTCATTGTGTAAGAGTACTGTTAATCATTTTAGAACCTGCCAAACTGTTTTTCAAAGACTATCAGAGAGAGCGTTTCTAGTTTTAGCCATTCCAGTGTGTGTGATGTGATATCTCATTTTAGTTTTAATTCGTATTTCTTTAATGATAAAATGATGTCAAGCACACTTTCATGTGCTAATTGGCAATTTTTTTTTTTTTTTGTAAAGTGTCTGTTCAAGTCTTTGGCTCATTTATATTATTCAGTTTTACTTATTGATGGGTAGGAGTTTTTAAAATATGTTATGGATAGAAGTGTTTTGTCTGATGTATATATTGTGAATATTTTCACCCAGTCTGTAGCTTCTCTTTCATTTTCTTAATCATGTCTTTTGATGGGAAGAAATCTGTAATTTTGACGAAGTCCAATTTATTATTTTTTCTTTTATGATTAATGACTTTAGTGTACTATCTAAGAAATATTTGCCTACTCAAAGGTCATGAAAATATTCAAAAAACAATTTACAATATAAGCACGGGTTTATATATGTACTTTCTATGCTATACCATTGATCTATTTGTCTACCCTTATGCTGATAAGAATTTGCCTTAAATATCATGGCTTAACAATGGTCTTGAAGTCAATTAGAAAAGATTGTCTTGGATTTTCTAGATTCTTTGCTTTTGTACATATCTTCTCAAATCAATTTGTCAATTTCTATAAGAAAAGACTTTAGAATTTTTTTTGGATTTGAATTGAACCTACAGATAAATTTGAGGAAGCTGACAACAATATTGAGCTTCCAATCTGTTAACATTGTATATCTCTCCATTTACTTAGATGTCTTTAATTTTACCCAGCAGTGCTTATAGTTTTTAGAAGTTATGTACATCTTTCCTTAAATTTATTCTTCTCCAAAAACCTATTGAAATAAAAAATTAAATTTAATTAAATTTAAAAAATAATAAATTTATTCCTAGTTATTTTATTGTTTTGGTGTCACTTTAAATGATAATGCTTTTCAAATTCCTCTTTTACTGTTATATGAAAATATAATTGGTTTGAAATGTATTAACCATGAATTTATGGCATTACTAAATTCATGTATTATTTCTAGTAAATTATTTATAGATTTCCTTTGTATTTTAAAGAAAATATCTATATCATCAACAAATAGACTGATTTACTGTTTCTTTCCAAACAATTATTTTCTTTCTTTGGTCTTATTTCACTGGTTAGGAGTTTGAATACAATGTTGAAGAGAAGTGGTGAGAGTGGACTTCCTTGCCTTATTTCCAATTTCAGGGACGAAGCACTTAGCAGCACCATTAAGTGTGATGTTTGCTATACCTTTATACATATTCCTGCTTCTTTCTTTCCTTCCTTCCTTCTTTCCTTTCTAAAAGATTTGAAAATAACTACTGATTGAGTGAAATCAGACCTTATAAAACTTTATGTAACACTGAAAATAAAAATAAAAAGCGGACATAGTTTGCATTTTTTAGAGAGATAAAACAAGGAAAACAATGAGTTGTAAAAGATAAAACAGGAAGTCCTAGCCCAAGCAGTCAGACAAAAGAAAGAAATAAAGGGCATCCTAATTGGTTAAAAGGAAGTCAAACTGTCACTGTTCACCAATGATATGATTGTATCCTAGGATATAGATCTGATAAATGAATTTAGTAAAGTTTAAGGATACAAAATCATTAGTAGCACTGCTATACACCAACAATGATCAAGCTGAAAATAAAATCAAATCCCTTTTACAACACCTGAAAAAAAAAAAAAAAAGCAAAACAACAACAACAACATCAACGACAAAAAAACAAAACACCTTAGGATATACCTAACCAAGGAGGTGAAAGATCTCTGTGAGGAGAACTACAAAACACTGCTGAAAGAAATCACAGATGACACAAACAAATGGAAACACATTCCATGCTCATGGATGGGTAGAATCAATATTGTGAAAATGATCATACTGCCCAAAAGCAATCTACAGATTCAATGGAATTCCCATCAAAATATCACCATCATTATTCTCAGAACTAGAAAAAGAACCCTAAAATTCATATAGAATCAAAAAAGGGCCCACATTGCCAAAGTAAGACTAAGCAAAAATTCCAGAATCTATAAATAACTTAAACAAATTAGCAAGAAAAAAATTCAGATAATCTTATCAAAAAGTGGGCAAAGGATATGAATAGACAATTCTCAAAAGAAGATATGCAAATGGCCAAGAAATACATGAAAAAATTCTCAACATCACTAATTATCAGGGAAATGCAAGTCAAAACCACAATGCGATACCACCTTACTCCTGCAAGAAAAAACATAATTAAAAAACAAAAACGTGATAGATGTTGGTGTGGATGTGGCAAAAAGGGAACACTTTACACTGCAGGTGGGAATGTAAACTATTGCAACTGCTATGGAAAACAGTATGAAGATTCCTTAAAGAACTATCATTTGATCCAGCAATCCCACTACTGGGTCTCTACCTAGAGGGAAATAAGTCATGATACGAAAAAGACATTCGTACACACATGTTTATAGCAGCACAATTAGCAACTGAGAAAATGTGGAACAAGCCTAAATGCCCACCAACCAATGAATGGATAAAGAAAATGTTATATATAAATATATGTATATATCACATATATACATACATACCATGGAGTACTCCTCAGTCATAAAAAGGAATGCAATAACGGCGTTCTCAGCATCCTGGATGGAGTTGGAGACCATTATTCTAAGTGAAGTAACTTAGGAATGGAACCAAGAATCATTATCTTCTCACTTATCAGTGGGAGCTAAGCTATGAGAATGCAAAGGCATAAGAATGATATAATGGACTTTGGGGATTCAGAAGAAAGGGTGGGAGGGGAGTGAGAGAGAAAAGAATACACACTGAGTTCAGTGTACACTGCTTGGGTGATGGATGCACCAAAATCTCGGAAATCACCACTAATGAATTTATCCATGTAACCAAAACCACCTGTTCTCCCCAAAGACTATTGAAATAAAATAAAGATAAAGTGGAAAAAGTACGAAAAATTATTTAAACAGAATGTAAAGGAAAAATGATATTGAAAGGCAATATTAATAATATTGA